CAATAGCACAGTGTAGTAAAAGTACAGTAGGGGGCTCACTCCTTGAGTAGCACTAATCTATGTAGCACTAATCCATGCTCTAATAGTTAATATAAGGTTATGGGTGAAATCCCTTTAAACAGCTTCTATAAATGGCCTAATTCAACATTAAAATGCAACCACCGTAAGACCCAAAAGCACCTCAAGCCCCAGAGAAGTGAGAGCAGTGAGGGGAGAGGGCAGAAACCAAGAATAAGGTAGAAACACAATAAATAACATAGAATAAACACATATGCACATAGTACAGAAGCACAGCAAGAACAAACAGCAAAGTATATAAAATATATAATATATATAATACAGAAACAACCTCAAAAGGGCAATAGAGGTGAGAAGAACACTGGGGAGGAGGAGAGAAGAACACTGGGGAGGAGGAGAGAAGAACACTGGGGAGGAGGAGAGAAGAACACTGGGGAGGAGGAGAGAAGAACACTGGGGAGGAGGAGAGAAGAACACTGGGGGGGAGGAGAGAAGAACACTGGGGGGGAGGAGAGAGAGGGGGAGGAGAGAAGAACACTGGGGGAGGAGAAAAGAACACTGAAGGAGAGAACACTGGGGAGGAGAGAAGAACACGGGGGGAGGTCTGGGGAGGTAGAGAAGAACACTGGGGAGGTGAGAAGAACACTGGGGGAGGAGAGAGAAGAACACTGGGGGGAGGAGAACACTGGGGGGAGGGAGAAGAACACGGGGAGGTAGAAAGAACACGGGGAGGTGAGAAGAACATGGGGAGGTGAGAAGAACACTGGGGGAGGAGAGAACACTGGGGAGGTGAGAGAACAAGAGAGAGACACTGGGAGGTAGAGAAGAACGAGTGAGCAACACACACAACAACACTGGGAGGGGGGAGGTGAGCGCTCTAAGCGACGGAAGCTCTGTAGGATAGGGGGCAGGACAGGGAGCTCTTTCCTCTTTCACACTACGCGCACACACACAATGCATCCCTATACGTATACAGAAACATGCTTCCCTTACACACACACACACAATGCAACCCTTACATATAAAGACAATGCATCCTTTGCACACATACACAGAAACACACAATGCATCCCTTACACACACATGCAAACACACACCGCTTCTCTTACATACACACAAACACAATACATCTCTTACACACACTCAATGCACCATTTACAGACACACACTCTAACACACTCAGTAACAGACACACACAGTAACACACACTCTAACACACACACACTAACACACACACATACGTTTAAAAAAATTTAATCCCCCCAGCCTCCTTACCTTTTGGATTGCTGAGGGGATTCCCTGGGGTCCAGTGGTGTCACCCAGCGAGCAGACTGGCGGCCGCGCAAGGGAGCACTCTCCCTGGCTGAGTGCTTCCTGTTCAGCTCCCTCGCGCGTTGCGTACTGATACCGGAGCCAGAATATGACGTCATCACCCGGCTCCGGTATCAGTGCGGTGTGAGAGGGAGTTGAAGAGGAAGCACTCAGGGGAGAGTGCTGCCTTGCGCGCCTGCCCACCGGGTGACACCAGGGCCAGCCTCGGGGGGCCCTGAGGTGGTCAACTCCTGGGCCCCCCAGGAGAAGAGGCTGGCCACAGTAGCATACATACCGGGTCGCAGGGCAGCCGGGCCCCCTGGTGGGCCGGTCGCAGCCGCGACCCCTGCGACCCCAGTATGTACGCCACTGCACCTACACAAACACCCTGGTATCCCTATACACTACATACCATAAGCACACACATTAGATCCTCTACAATAACACATAACACATGCCCTACACACTCCACTCCCTGTGAGCGAACTCATGGGTGAAACATGTAGGTGGACTTACGGGCATACTGACAGTCAGGCCCTGGGGCCCAGACCTTGAGCTGTTTAAGTGGCCCCAAAAAATGGAGCTGCTTTCCGTTCTCTCAGTACATTGAATTTTGTGACCACAGTTACAAACATCCTCCAGAATGCCTGTCATACACCAGACCAGTGGAGCCAAACTGCACCAGAGCCCATCTCCATCCTCATCTGGTTGTAAGTAGGCAATCTAGTATGTTATTAGTGACACTAATCTCTAATTTACCTCACATTAAAGGGACACTTTAGTCCCCAGAACCACTGCAGCTTAATGAAGGGGTTCTGGTGTCTAATGCCGGTCCCTGCAGGCTTTTTAATGTAAACACACACTGTATGCAGCACTGGCGTTAGTTCATATGACAGATCATATGGGTGGGGCATTGTGATGTCATCATGGTTTTTAAAAGTAAAAGAAATCCTGCTGGTTGATGTATATCTTGAAGATTTCATATTTAGAATAATCACTTTTCAGATTAGTTCAACTGTTCTATTAGAACTGATTTTGTTATATACAACTAGAAATGCATGGATAATGAGAATATTATTGCGAGGTGAACTATCTTCAGTTTAATTGATTACTCAGAAATGTTTTGAGAAGAACTTGAACAGAAAGTGCTCATTGTGTGTTTGCATAATAAAAACCTGATTAATGCCTTTTTTCTGAACTTTATATTTTATAAAAAATGTTTGCCGTGAAAAAAATGCATGTTATCTCAATTACCTTGGTTCGTTAACTTGGATTAATTGAACTAATTTACCAAAAATGTAAATATTGCATGAATATACTGCTTCATGTTAAATAACTAATCTCTGTGTGATGCTGAATAACATTTGGGCGATAATGTATCTTAAACTCCTAATTATGGAGGAAATTGTCCAAGTTCTAAACCAAAACAAACCATGAATTTGAGCTATAGGTTAGTTCCACTGTAATTTAAGGTTTTCTCTTCAAATGTTTCCATACCTTAAATATTAACCCCTTAAGGACGGCGGGCGTTCTATGCCATCATTTATACTTACCGCGTCCCCGCCGATCCCGCACTGGCTGTCGCGATCCTGGGGTGTGCGTGGGAGATATAAATAAATAAATAAATAAATAAATATATTAATATATATATATATATAAAAAAACTTAAAAAAAATATATATTTAAATTTGATAAGTATATTTATATATTTTACAAAAGTCATTTTATTAATTACTATCTGAGGGACCTGCCCGACAACCCAGGTAGAAAGTCCACAGAGTCGCATGCCCTATATTTAACCCTGTAACTTACCAGGACACCTAAAACCTGTACATGGGGGGGGTACTGTTTTAATCGGGAGACTTCGTTGAACACAAATATTAGTGTTTAAAAACAGTAAAACCTATCACAACGATGATATCGTCCGTAAAAATGCATTTTTTTTGCATTTTTCACACACAAACTGAACTTTCACTAATGATAGAATTGTTGTGATACGTTTTTACTATTTTGAAACACTAATATTTGTGTTCAGCGAAGTCTTCCGAGTAGAACAGTACCCTCCATGTACAGGTTTTATGGTATGGTTATTATTCAATGCTTTCCTATGGGGATTCTGGTGACGCTGGGGGACCTCATGCTTCGCGTTAGGACGCCCAGCTTCATTTAGACAGCCACTAGAGGAGGACTTAACCCTGCAAGGTAATTGATCTGTTTTATAAAACCCATAGAAGAGATGTGTGATTTCGATGTATGGTACAGAACATGTTTCTTATTTCAGTGTTTCACGTTTTGGGAGTAATTGTGAAATAAAGCAATACGCTGCATAGGGGGAGCCTGGATTATACTATATGCTTCAAGAAATATTCTCCTACTATCATTAAGTTACCTTGTAATATTGTTCCAGTTAGAAGCAAAGTCAGATGGGAAACAGAGTATAAAAAAAAAAAAAAAATATATATATAAAAAAAATCAAACTAACAATTGTTTAGGTTTATAGGAGTGGTTCCCAAACTATTTAGGTTCAAGGCGCCCCAAGTTAAAATAATTTTAAGAACAGTTTGACAACTTACCTGGGTTCTGCCAGGATAGGGGCTGTAGTAGGGGATAGAGGCAGTAGTTTGTCTGAGTGGTGCAGTGTGTGTGTGTGGGGGCTGGTTGTATGAGGAGTACAGTGTATGTGGGGCAGGTTGTGTGAGGGGTACAGTGTGTGTGTGTGTGGGGGGGGCAGGTTACGTGAGAGGTACAGTGTGTGTGTATGGGGGGGTAATTGTAAAAGGTTTTTTTAATCTAATTAATTTTAATAAAAAACATATATTTTAATACCCCTCCCCCCCCCCCACCTGCTTACCTTTGCCTGGGAGTGGGGACATTTCCTGCAATCCCTGGTGGTTTGTTGGCGAAGCCCTGGTGGTCCAGGTGGTGAGAGTGAACTCTAGCAGCCTTAGCAATGCTCAGACCTCGCGAGAAGAGCTCCCCAGGTCCTCCCTCCCTCCCCTGCCGGCTGCCAGCAGTACACTGTGATGACATCTGAAGAGGGAAGAGAGTCCCCAGGGAGGAGTGTTTAACCCCTTAACTCCTCTTGAGCCCAGCGGGAGGGGGGCCATGAGATTGGGGGCGGGGGGACCTACCTATTAACACTATAGTGCCAGGAAAACGATTTTGTTTTCCTGGCACTATAGTGGTCCTTTAAATGCAGATGTACATTTGTGTGAAGTATTTGGGTTTGAGCGAAGGGGTGTGTTTGTATATATTTTTTTTTTAGTTTGAATGCAGGGGTGTGTTTATGTAATTTGCGTTAGATTGCAGGAGTGTGCATGTATGTTGTACTGGTGTTTGACTGTTTGAATGTGTGCACATACACTACTACATACATACATACATGCACACACAGATATTTATACACATTAACACACAGATGCATATAAATACACCAACACATACACACAAATTTATATAGACACCGCCACATATGCACATAGAGATACACACAGACACATACACACATGCACCCTGACACTCACAAACATTGATACATGCCCACACCATGACACAGATACACACACTGACATAAAAAAAAAACCTGACACACGGACGCACATACACAGATGTGTGCACAGATATAGAAGCACACTGAGATATATATATATATATATATATATATATATATATATATCACTTGTATGTGTGAGAATGAGTGTGTGTGTGTGTGTATATATATATATATATATATATATATATATATATATATATACACACACACACTCATTCTCACACATACAAGTGATTTATTTTTTATATCTCCAACCACCTTCCTGTCATCTTACCTTATGTGCCCGTTAGAGTCCTGCTGCTGGTGGGAATGAGGGATCTGGAGCTCTTCATGCTCTCAGGCCCTCACGCTGCAGCTGCTTCCACCATGCTGCCTCCCTGTAGTATGCTGGGAGGAAGTAACAGGCTGTCACTTCCTCCCAGCCGTCCGACATTACAGGGGTCCGTTCGCAGTCTTAAAGGACTGCGGCACCCAACCGGGCCCCTGTTCAGCAGTAATGTTATAATCATAGCACCGGGGAAACATTCAGCTGCACCCCTGTGTGCACATCTGGCCCTGGGGAGCCGCGGCACACACTTTGGAAACCACTGGTTTATAAGATGAAGCTCAAGAAGAAGAAGAGGGCACACTCTGGCAATAACACAAATAAGAGTTCAGCCACGAACTGCCTTATAGTTAGTGACAGTCCAAAGCTGTTTATCTATAGAGGATGTAAACATGTACATCTGCCACTTCAGCATTTCTTGACATTTCAAGCCTCCGACTCTGCAAAGGAGAGTTCTCATTGTGAGAAATAATGCTCTAGTAGCTGTGGGTCAGGGGTACACTGGCGCCTGTCCAAAATAATAAATATGACAACTTACTTGGGTCCCGCTGGGTGCCCACAGCTGCATCCCTTGCTTCAAAATGTCTGCAGGAAAGTCCAGTTAGCTCTACAGTGCTTAAAAGGACCATGTAGGATGGCACTGATTGGCTGAGAGTGTCAACGGCTGAGTACTCTCAGCCAGAGGGTGGCCCTGCATCAACAGTTTTTTATTATATAGAGCAGCGTTTTACAATTGGTGTTCCACGGAACCCTAGTGTTCCACGAGAACAAAATTGGGGTTCCGCTGTGATTTGCCTATGGCCAGCCAATGGGCATTGCTGCAGAGGCACCCGGTCTGGGCCACAGCTGATTAATTGCACTACCGGGTCCCCGTAGTAAGGGATGCTGGGAGGAAGTGATGGACTGTCATTTCCTCTCAGCTTCATATGGGAAAATGCCGCACTGGAGGAAGAGAGGCAGCAGCCGGCAAGTGTCTGTGTGGTGCAGTTGTAATAAATTAAGAGTAAGATTAGTCATTTTTGAAGTAGTTCCCAGAGGGCGTATTCACATGCAGCAAAATTAGCAGTGCTTGTAATAAATTTTATTTTAGCATAACACCTGTTTAGCTGCATTGATCATTTCCTTGCAGTTCATTTACACCCTGTTCCAAATTATTATGCAAATTCTATGTAAGTGTCACAAAGATTAAATATTTTGTTTTTCAGTTTAATTCATGGATGGCATTGTGTCTCAGGGCTCTTTTGGTCCCTGAAAACAATCTCGGACACCTGTGATAATTAGATTGCCAGGTGAGCCCAATTTAAAGAAAAACTGCTAAAGGAGGGTGTTCCACATTTTTAAGCAGAGCACCATTTTCATGCAATATGGAGAAGAAAAAGGATCTCCCTGCTGCCGAAAAGAGTAAAATCGTTCAATGCCTTGGGCGAGGTATGAAAACATTAGATATTTCACTAAAACTTAAGCGTGATCATCGCACTATTAAGAGATTTGTGGCTGATTCAGAGCACAGACGGGTTTGTGCAGATAAAGGCACATTGAGGAATATTTCTGCCAGATCCACGCATCGGATCAAGAGAGCAGCTGCTAAAATACCATTACATAGCAGCAAACAGATATTTGAAGCTGCTGGTGCCTCTGGAGTCCCACGGACATCAAGGTGTAGAGTCCTCCAGAGTCTTGCAACTGTGCATAAACCTTCTATTCGGCCACCTCTAACCAATGCTCACAAACAGAAACTGCTGCATTGGACAGAAAAAGACATGAAGACTAATTTTCAAACAGTCCTGTTCACTGATGAGTGCCGTGCAACCCAGGATGGACCCTGTTCCAACAAGGCTGCGACGTCAACAAGGCGGTGGTGGAGTCATGTTTTGGGCCAGAATCATGGGAAGAGAGCTGGTCGGCCCCTTTAGGGTCCCAGAAGGTGTAAAGATGACCTCTGCAAAGTATGTGGAGTTTCTGACTGACCACTTTCTTCCAATGCTTTCCGTAATAAAATCATTTTCATGCATGACAATACACCATCTCATGCTGCAAAGAATACCTCTGCATCAAATGGCTGCTATGGGGATAAAAGGAGAGAAAGTCATGGTGTGGCTTCCATCCTCCCCTGACATCAATCCTATTGAGAACCTTTGGAGCATCCTCAAGCAAAAGATCTATGAGGATGGGAGGCAGTTTATATCCAAACAGCAGTTCTGGGAGGCTATTCTGACATCTATTAAACAAATTCAAGCAGAAACTGTCCAAAAACTCACAAGTTCAATGGATGCAACGTGACCTGTTAAAATGTTTCAAAAGTTAAAATGTTGTTATAAGTTTGATTGAAATAGCTTTTGATTTCAGTAAATATGCTGCAAACACAACAAATGACAATGTTCAGTTCTTTACAACCTATAAAGTGTTTTGAAGCTTACTGTGTTTAATAATTTGGAACAGTGCATTGTAAGTTTTTATGTTTAAATAAAATACTGTTATCATTAGGTTTGTTAAATAACATTTGAATTGTACTCTTAATAGTTGATAACATGAGAATTATGCTGACTGTTATTTACATCAATTATTTAAGTAAATGAGAAAAATATAATTTGCATAATAATTTGGAACAGGGTGTAGAAGCTTGCTCAGCTTCTAAAGTAAATACATTGTAAAACAAGCCCAATAAACAAATCTATTTTGACATTTCACGTATGCTTGTGTCAGTATTACTATTGATCCAGCACGCAGAAATAGTATCACACTTAGGATTAAGGATAACGTATAACCGGACTTTAAAATGGCTGGACTTAACGTATCCAAGAATAGTCAAAATACATGCCGCGGTCAGGGATACAGAATGAGACACAACGATGAGGGAAAGCCAGAAGTCAAGGATACCAGAAATCAGGAAAGTCAAACGAAACCAAAGTCAAATACCAGAATTACTATGATCAGGAACACTCTCTCAGATAACCAGCTATGGGAAACCACGACAGGGCACTGATCAAAAGGCAATTTGGGTTTAAATAACCCTCCTACAGCTGTAATTGGCTGGATGTGACCTCTGACCCTAAAACGTGCATTCATGTCTATGACGTGACGTCGCATGCACGTAGGCACCATCTTTGGTATGGGCAAAGGCTATTTCTTTATTAGAAACAGAACCGCAGCGGCCGGCATCTCTGTTAATGCCGCACGCCGGGGGATCGGGATGGAAGGAGGTCGGGCTTTGATCTGTCGCAGGTAAGATAAGGGTTTGATATTTCTGTTGGCATGACTGCTGCTTTTCAGTTTTGCCATGCTGACAGAAACCCGCGGAACCGTGACAACTTGTCAATCTTGTCCAGCAAAACCACCTAAGAGATAAACCTCATATTAGAGGTGGTAATGATACATTGGTAAAAATTCAGATGTAATTTAGTAGGCAGTGTAAAATTGGCATAAGCTACGTATGAGTCCTCTCCCCCAACACATACCAGCCTCAGCCAGTAAGTCACCCTCCTGCAGACAACAGGTATGCTAACAGAGGGTGACTGCAAATGTAAAAAATAGCATGTGTGTGTATCTGTGTGTATGAGTGTGTGTATTAATGTGTCAGTGTGTGTATCTGTGTGTTAGTGTTTGTGTCACTGTGTGTATCTGCCACTGTGTTCCTGTTTTAGTGTGTATTTGAGTGTAGGCACCAGTATGTGTATCTGAGTATCACTGTATGTAGCAGTGTGTGTTTGTATGTGCCTGTGTGTGTGCCAGTGTGTATGTTTCACTGTGTGTATCTGAGTGTGTTTATCTGTTTGTATGTGCCAGTGTGTTTATCTGTGTGTATGTGCCAGTGTGTGTATCTGTGGGTCACTGCATGTATTTGAGTGTCAGTGAATCTGTGTGTATGTGTGTGTGTGTCAGAGTGTGTATCTCAGTGTGTCTTATCTTTGTCAGTGTATGTGCGTATCTGTGTGTTAAGGCGTGCGTCTCACTGTGTGTATCTGTGTGTATTTGCTCCAGTGTGTGTATCTGTGTGTCAAGATGTGTTCATGCGTTAGTGTGTATCTTTTTGTCTGTGTGTTTATGAATCTGTGTATATGTGAAGTGCGTTTGTGTGTTTATGAATCTGTGTATATGTGAAGTGTGTTTGTGTGCATCTCTGTGTTAATGTGTATGTATATCTGTGTAAATATGTATGTGGCAGTATGTGTGCATACATTCCAGCAATCAAACACACCCCTGCAAACACAAACATTACATACAAAAACACCCCTACATGCAAATACAAACATTACATATAAATACCAACTCTACACACAAAAGCACTCCTGCTCTTAAGTATTACAATCTGTTTACTATCTGTAAAAATTAGACCTGTGCAATTTGTTTCGGTTCGAATTTAAATTTGGACGAATTTCAGCATTTCGGATGCTTCTGAATGTCTGATTTGAGAAGTGAACTGAACCAAAGTGCCAAAGTCCCGAATTTTGGAAGTACCGAGCTGAATTGTTTGCCCATGCACATCCTGAATAAAAATACTTGTATATTTACCAAACAACTAAATTTGCGGAAAAACAAACAAACATTACACTCTGCTAATTAAAAGGTTTGTGTTTTTGGGGGGTTTCACGATTTTGGTACACTATGTTAAAGGGTTCCACTGGAAAAACATCTTCAGAGACATCTGGTTTCTCCTGCAGGAGTCAAGTTGTCAGTGTATTAAAATGCTTTGACTACTTACTGTGGGACAATGCCTGGGATCATAACCACCGCAGGCTATTGGGTTTATGGTGTTGGAGTGTTTCTTTAAAACATTTACAATCTACTGTTGCTATAATTACAATAAATAAATAAATAAATCATCTACTTTATGTGACTTAAAAAATAAAACAAAAGAAGCGCCCATGCAAATAAAATGCATCCAGCAAACTGATATGACATTATAATAAATGATC